GAAGTGCAGGAGTTGTTCACAGGGAATAATGGCAGCAACGTGCTGTCAGCAATGCCCACCCATCCCATGTGAACATTGGGCAGCCAATCCGACCGATGTTTTATCGCTTCATTATCGAAATGAGACATTTTTAGCAACAAACTGGAGGCAAAGGGCCATAGTCTTCCCGTTCTCTGGATCTGCCGCGGGTTGCACCCACTCCACCACGGCCCCTTCCCAGCACTAGGGCGGAATCCATCATGGCGGCCGGAGGGGGGTGGGGGGGCGCCAAGCGCGTGGCCAACTTCGCCCCCCCCCCCCCATCCCCACGGCCTCTCTGGCCAATCGCCGGGCAGGCAGACAAGCAGCGGCCAATCACCCGGCTCCTCCTGCCCTCCGCCCCGCCCACTTGGGGAGGACGCGCGCACACCTCGCTGCACCCCAGCGACGGCCGTTGTTTGGGCGCTCGGTAGGGCAGGCCAAGCCCCGCCCACCGCACCTTTCACACCATTGGAGCTCCGGGATAGGGCCCGCCCCCGACGGCCGGCTAGCCAATGAAAGAGCGCCAAGGCGTGTCCGTCGGAGTGCGAGGAGTCTATAAAGGGCCCGCGCGGCTGGCGGGAAGGGGCAAGATGGCGGAGTAGCCGCGTCCGGCGTGGCTTGCGCTCTCCTTGCCGCGTCCCTTGGCAGGAGGCGGGTGGATCCCAGCGCCGCAGCGGGCCGCGGTGCGAGGCGGAGCGGGGAGCAGGAGGAGGAGAAGGAGGAGGGCAGCGCTCCCGCCGCCGCAGCCGCCGCCATGCCCAACATCAAGATCTTCAGCGGGAGCTCGCACCAGGACCTGTCGCAGAAGATCGCCGACCGCTTGGGCCTGGAGCTGGGCAAGGTGGTGACCAAGAAGTTCAGCAACCAGGAGACATGGTGAGGCGGGGGCGGGGCCACACTACAATTCCCGGCGGGCAGCGCGGCGGCGACGGCCCGGGTTCCGCGGGGCCGCCGCGCGGGGGCTGCTGGGAGTTGTAGTGCGCGGCGGGTGGCGGCCTGGCACGGCGGGATTGGGGGCGGCCGTGCCCCGCGGGCCTCACACATGGGCCGGCGGTTCCGGGCCCGGCGCGGGGCTCCCGTGAGCGCCCTGAGGCGGTGGGCCCGGCGCCGCGGCCGCCCCCTCCCCGCCCTCTGGCGGCTCTGTGCGGGGCTGCCCCTACGGGGGCTGGGGCGGGGCTAGAGGTGCGGTGCAGGTGAGCGGGTCGCGGCACACACGTGGCCCCGGGCCTCCCCATGAGCTCCGGGAGCCGCAGCCTCACTGTGTGTGTGGAGTTAGGAGAAAGGAGAGGCTGAAACGTATGCCGAGGTAGGGGATATCTGGAGGAAATCAGCCCTATGTGCCGTAGCCAGTGTGATAGGAGGAATCCTGAATGGCCAGGGACAGTCTCATACAGACGTGAGTTGTTTCCATCTCGTGGTGTTGGAACTGCTGCCCTGAGGCTGTGCACATAGGTGTGGTAGGGCTGTGTGTGATGGACAGCAGTGTCATTGCTCTGTCCTCACGTCCCCATCCCTCCCAGCAGGTCCCTGTATGAGCACTGATGTGGGTTTTAAACATCCAGTCGGTTTCTTATTTACCTCCGTCAACTCAAGGCCCGTGCTGAAAGAAAAAGCAGAACAGTTCAGTTGAGCTCATACACAATAAATGGGCTCTAGTGTTAAACTCTGGTATTAAAGTACAGCGGGAGATGGCACTGTGTGTGCTGTTAGTTCTGGTGTTTGCTCACTGAGTAGGTCTCCACCAGAGCAATAAGCATGGCAAGATGTCTAGAGTTAGCAGTTTGCTGGTGGAGGTGGAGCAGCAAGGCCTGGTGTTCAATAAAAACATGTTGAAGGGGGAGGATAAGATGAGAAATGAATAAAATTGAAGGTCTGCCTTCAGGTGCTCTAAACACAACGCCATTAGGGCTGGGGGGTTATCACTTGCCTGCCTGCTCCCAGAGTTTGCTGCAGGATGTGAGCATCGCCAGCACTGGGAGAAACTGGGGGAGGATTTATCCTCCTTAGAGTGACTCTGGGTTCCTTCCACATCTGTGGCAGGCTTCTCTAAATTTTACTGTTGCAGCGCTTAGGGCTTCATCTTGTACAGCATTTCTACAGGAGCCTCAAAGCTGAGGAAGCCTGAGGTGGCTGCGTGCCTTGCAGCCCTGCTTTGGGCGCAGGTGTCCTGACACACGCGCTGGAGCTGGCGGCGTGCTGCTGGCAAACAGGACCTTTGGCTTGTGTTCAGTGCCTTCATCAGCAGGGATTAGTGTGCATTACATCCAGGAGGAAATTAACCCCAAAAGCCTTTCCAGAGTGAAAAGCTGGAGGGCTTCTCTGTTCAAAGCAGTGAAAAGCTGTTAGGGCTCTAATAGAATAATCTGCTGCAGCATGGCTTCTGTTGGGAGCTTGGCTTGGCTTTCCCTGCTGACTGGCCATCATCCCTGCTTCCTTTATACACTGCTGCTTTGTACTTCTGTGATTTGGGGGGACAGGAACTGTTTGAGGGGGTTTACATGCTTGGCTTGCATTGAGATTAAAAGCAGAGGCTGAGCGCTTTCAGCCTTATTGAACCATTAAATGTGAGCAGTGAACACTGTGAAATAGCTACTGAGCAAACAAGCAACAGCATTTGTGCCAAACACCCGTGATTACATGGTGCTGTCACCCACAGACCCTCAGGATTGCAGCCCCTTGGTCGCTCTGCAGGCATAGATAATGACTGCAGCTTTAATTCCTGTTTGGATCCATCTCTTCTTTCCCCATCTGTTCCCAGTGTGGAAATAGGAGAGAGCGTACGTGGGGAGGACGTCTACATTGTGCAGAGTGGTTGTGGGGAAATCAATGACAATCTGATGGAGCTCCTTATCATGATAAATGCATGCAAGATTGCCTCAGCCAGCAGAGTCACAGCTGTCATCCCTTGCTTCCCTTATGCTCGGCAGGACAAAAAGGACAAGGTAAGGGATTGAAGAAGGGGTTGTGCTGGGGAAGGATGTGTGCATGCAAGGAAAGGCCGGCAGGCCTGCCTGCCTGCCAGGGCTTAGCTGAAATTGAATATGTGGAGGAAGAGATAAAAGTTAATTTAACTTCAACCCGAGGGCATCGAAGTGCAGATTCATCTTCACAAAGATGTAGTTCTGCTCGAAAGTACACCAACCTGTAATCAGCAGCTGATGAAAAGATGCAATGTTAATGAGTGCTGCTTTTAGCAACTGCTTGTGAATCATTGCCTAGGGGTGGAAGGCTCACGTCTTGATGAAGGAGTTAAACTAGTCTTAAATACTGTTTTTTTTTCCTGTCTTAGAGCCGAGCCCCGATCTCTGCCAAGCTGGTTGCAAACATGCTGTCTGTGGCAGGAGCAGATCACATAATCACAATGGACCTGCATGCATCTCAGATTCAGGTAGGAACTGAAATTAGGAAGCACTTGGCTGCTCCCATCTGAGCCTGTTTACTGCCTTGCAGGCTTTCCTGTCATCTGCTTTTTTTAGCTACAGCAGCAGTCAGCACTTAAGAGCACAGGGCTGGAAGGGAGTTGTAGGGTCAGTTAGAAGGGGGTGGGGAGGTGGGCAACAGGTTCCTCTGTGAATAAAATTGTAGCTGCTCTCAACCAGACCACGCATAACGAGCCCTGTATAAATGAGTGTTGGTTAGTAAATGATCCGTGCAACTCAGTCACCATACGGGGGCACTCTGTGTTCTTAATTGGTCCCGTGAGGAATTTCAGATGGAGAATGGTTTTATTTAATGTTCTGAAATATTGAGCAGAGCTTTCCAATACAGGACAGTCAGAGAGGAGTGAGTGGTGCTGCCTGACACAGTGGGTAACACTACTGCTGCCCTGAGCTCCCACACCCTCCAGGTGTGCTGGCACAGCTGCTTATGAGCATTCAGCTGACCAGGACAGTTATATGAAAGCTTGCTGCTGATGAGATGGGCAGCTCTGCTTGTATCCATTCCACCCTTCCTCTGCAGTTGGCTTTGATCCCTTCCCAAGCTGCTGGTGAATGGAAAACAATGGCTTTGCTGGAAGTGAGCCATCTCAACAGAGCAATTGGAATTTTGACCAGGGCTTGCTTTGAACCAGCAGGAGCTGTTTAGCAGGGAGAGGAGGGACAGCAAGGTGTCAAGCTGTTGGTCTTTTGCCTCTTTCCACCTTGAACAAGCTGTGAGACCAAGAACAGTTTACACCTGGGACAGTTGTAGCACATCTGTTGTATTGGTGCAAGCATTTTGAATCCACAGAGGTCAGCTCTCTGCTGCCTGGTGAAGTAGGTGGGCTTGCTGTCATTTTAATGATTGAAAATGCAGCCACTCACGTGTCAGTGTAAATTCTGGTGGTGTTTGCCCATAAATGCTTCATCTCAGGTAGAGCATGAAAGTCTCAGCTGCACTCTCATACAAAAGATCTCAGAGCCCAGCAATGGTGTTCCTTTTGCATCTTGGAGCAGCAATGTCTGCCATGAGGATCACCTTTCAGCAGCACTGATGAGTTTGAGTTGAATAATTGGTGCTGTGTGGATCATTGTCCAGCACGTCTGGCTTCAGCCTGGATGTGTGGGGCTGCTGAACCCAGAATTGATGGTAGGAAGGATCTGCTCCCCTGCACCTTGAGCACAAGGCCTGTTGTGCTGGGCATTGCTCCCTGCTCCTGTCCATTGCTCCCTGTGCAGCATTAACTTCAGCTTTTAGTGACCTTTGAGGTTTACCTGAGCAGCCTGCTGGGTCAGCGTCCAGTTGTGCAACCAGGTGCATTGCCATGTTTTGAGGTTGGTTTTCTATACCCCTTGAGATAGAACTAATTCCATGTTGTAAAATGTCAGCTGTTAAGTGTTACTTACATTGCTAAACTGGTTCCAGTCTTACCACTGTTCTGTATATATGCCATTCCACTGAGAGGAGTAGATAGGGAAGCAGAAAATGCTGTGGCTGTGTGCCTGATAACATAGAAATCTTCTTCCAATCTCTGGTCTTGGAATGTGACCTTCAGCTGCATCTGTTCCTGTCATCTTTCTTGCAGGGTTTTTTTGACATCCCTGTTGATAACTTGTATGCTGAACCTGCTGTACTGAAATGGATCAAAGAGAATATTCCCGAGTGGAAGAACTGCACCATTGTTTCACCAGATGCTGGTGGAGCCAAGAGGTAAGCTGTCAGAGCGAGCAGAGATGCTGCTTCCTCTACCTGAATTCCTGAGTGTGCCTGTAGCTAACTGACCCTGCTCTGAAGACATGTTCCCCCTCTGCCAGCTGGCTGCAGCAAGGGAAGAGCAGTCAGTGACTCTCCCTGCGGAATACCTAAAAGGTTTCTTGAGCTGCATGGAGAAGGAAATAGATTCTAGAATCACAGCTGCATGGATAGTTGTCCAATTACTACATCCCAGACTAAAACTGTTCTTTCTAGGAAGGGAATTATGCATGTTAAAGGAGAGGGTCGTGTAGCTCGTGCTCATATGCCAAGACAAGGTATTCGTGCTGGATAATAATGCATTTTCAGCTAGACTGTTCTCTCTGAGGTATTTAGTCTGCTGAGGCATTTTCTTGCTTTATTGCTCTTAATTTTAACTGCTTGCTGTGGTTTCAGCCTGCTGCTGCTCGTCCTCTTCCCTGAGAGCAGAGACCATAGACAATTCTTAAGAGCAGCAGCATATGTCACAGCACATTTCTGCTAAGATGGTCTGACAAAATCCCATCTTGCTGCAGATGAACAGCAGTTTGTGGGCAGTTTGGAACGGTGTCAGATTAGTGAGAAACAAGGCTGATTTTTGCTGCTTCTGTATAATGGTTACACATGAGCAGTGAAGTAAAGCAGGTGAACTCTTGAATCCAGGAGACCGTTGCACCAAAATGCTGACGTGTGCTGAGCTGAGCCACACACTCTGGAATGATTGCAGCTATCTGTTACAAAGAGCCAAGCTGTGTGCCTTTCTGGAGCAGCGCTGTGGCCCAGGTGTGTCAGCCAGGGCCTTCTGTGTGTTCAGCTCCTTATTGTGTAATGCAGGTCACCAAGTGCCAAGTCAGCCAGCTATCCTTTGATTTCTCACCAGTGAAGCTTTTACATCACTGTTCATCAGTAGCAGTAGATAAAGCTTGAGTCCCTCCAGGGAAGATTTCCTGTGGTCACATTTAACAGCGGCGAGCAGTGAGCAGATGTGGTGACAGCTTCCTTTACTGCAATCTTAGCATCTTTTCAGTTCGAGATCTGACTGAAGCTGCCCTGGAGTTAAGTGTGGTTTGGAAACTGTTCTCTCTTCAGAGTGACCTCCATTGCAGATCGGTTGAATGTAGACTTTGCCCTCATTCACAAGGAGCGCAAGAAAGCCAACGAGGTGGATCGCATGGTGCTGGTGGGTGATGTGAAGGACAGGGTGGCCATTCTGGTGGATGATATGGCAGACACGTGTGGCACCATCTGTCACGCTGCAGACAAGTGAGTAGGGCTGGCTGATGCTTTCCTCAATCAAAAAACCAACTATTACTAGGGATGGCTAATGAATTCATTGATTTGTATGTGAAGTTTCACAAGGTAGAATCCTAGAATGGCCTGGGTTGAAAAGGAGCACAGTGCTCATCCAGTTCCAACCCCCTGCTGTGTGCAGGTCACCAACCAGCAGCCCAGGCTGCCCAGAGCCACATCCAGCCTGGCCTTGAATGCCTGCAGGGATGGGGCATCCACAGCCTCCTTGGGCAACCTGTTCCAGTGCCTCACCACCCTGTGTGAAAAACTTCCTCCTAATATCCAACCTCAACCTCCCCTGTCTCACTTTAAAACCATTCCCCTTGTCCCATCACCATCCACCTTCACAAACAGCCATTCCCCTTCCTGTTCATATGCTCCCTTCAAGTACTGAAAGGCCACAATGAGGTCTCCCCAGAGCCTTCTCTTTTCCAAGCTAAACAAGCTCAGTTCCCTCAAGCTTTTCTCATAGGAGAGCTGCTCCATCCCCCACAGAAAATGAATGAGAAGTGTAGCTGAACTTCTGACTGTATGAGTAGCCAGGTGGGCTGCTCTCTTATTTGAAAGCACGTATCCAGGGATGGCTGGTGGGTATTGCTCTTGATGGTGAGTGTAGTGATGTTCGATTTCTCGCACTTGAGTTTGACATAGACAGGTTGCCAACACTGATTCTGATGTAATTAAATGCTGTCTCAACCATCAACTTAATATCACACATCTGAATTTCTATTAGCACTAAGCTTCCCAGGCTTTGATATCAGCCGTCTAAACTAGAAGAGCCACTAGTTGGTAACACCTGCCCCCTTGTGTTGGCAGAAGTCAGAAGGTGGGTTTGTGTGATACGACCCAAATATCCCAGGGCTGATAGATGCTGCTGCAGTGTGTAACTTGCTTGTGATGGATTTTATGGTACTTGTTTGACTGTTTGCCTCCCCACATTGCAGTGGCTTAACCTCTTCCCTGCACCCATTTTAATGCTGGTTAGTAATTCTTCATTCCTCTTCTTCCCCCTCCCCTGCTCACAGGCTCGTGTCAGCTGGAGCCACCAAAGTTTATGCCATCTTAACTCATGGGATCTTTTCTGGGCCGGCAATCTCTCGGATCAATAACGCCTGCTTTGAGGCAGTGGTAGTCACAAACACGATACCCCAGGAGGACAAGATGAAGCAGTGCCCTAAAATCCAGGTGAGCATCTCCTCCTTTTTCTCCTTGGAGGCAGCCCACTTGTCTGCCTCCCTTTTGGTGGGGAAAACACCACCACTGTGTAGGATTTACAGCAGTATCACCAGACTGCAGCTTCCCAGCGCTGACCAGTGTTGTGTTCTATCTAGCAGACACCTATGAAAGGAACCTGCTTATCCAGGTAGACTTAGAAGTCATTTTTTTTTTCAGTGCTTGCCTTACCTGGAGCAGATTACTGATCATGTGGGGGGCACAATGTATGCAAGCAGTTGTCACTCCTGCAGAGGGTGCTGCATGCAAAGGACACGTACTCAAGCAGAAAGCAGTAGGTAGGAATTTCTCAAGCTGATAATGATGCTGATGTCACTTGTGAAATCATCACCCACCACAGTATGGGGTGCAAGCCTTGTTTTCCCACAAAAGAAAGGTCAGAAGAAGCTGTCGGAGGGATTTCTGGTCTCTGTGGGAAAACCTTTGCTCTTGCTGCCTCTCCTGATGCCTTTGGGAGATCAGAGAAGCTATTGAGTTCATAACAACAAGTCGGAGGGGAAAGAAAAAGCAAGATTTGAAAGGCTGTGACAACTTCAAACATTGCCTTGTATTTCCAGGCCTATAACCAACCCTTTATGTGAATTCCTTTATCCAGATGTCCTTTTTATGAGAAGGTGTTTCGTGCAGGGGGGGAAGAGGCATGGGAAAACAGTGTGTATGATAACAGCTGAAAGTGACCTAAGAGGGAGCTCAGCCTCACTCCGTGCACATGCTGTGCTGGTTTGGCTGAGGGCAGGTGGCAGCTCCACAGCACAGTGCTCAGGTGTTCAGGAAAGAGAAAGAAAACCCCTTTGCTGTCCCCATGAAAACAGGCAGCTTGTGAAGATACTGCTGTAGTGCACACAGTCAGGGGCATCCTAAGCACTGAATTCCCAGCACAGATCTATAGGACAAAAGCATGTGAGATGAGGGCAGTAGTTCTGCAGGCTGTCACTCCTTTACAGTAACTCTGCTGTTCAGTGTTTGGAAGTAAAGAACTGTAGCAGTTCTAAGTCCCATCTTCTGTCTGCTGCTGCAGCTCTTAGGTTTGTTTTTTTTTCCCCCCTTCCTTCTTAGGCAAATTATCCAGGAAAAAGAAAATGTTAAATAGGAATTTCACTTAATTCATGCACCACATCTATAGTGCTTCTTAGAGACTGCACTGTACTGAAGTGTTAGATGCTGGGGTTCAGAGCTGGAGTTTGAAGCTTGATATTTTTTTTTTTTCTCTGCTGTTAACTGGTTTACCCCACCAGGTGGAGCCAGCACTTGTGTAACTTGGCACTGAACTGGAGCAGTGTAGCTTCATCTCTGATAAACCCTTGCAGTGGCAATGGTAAAGCCTCGTGACTGCAGGGAAGTAATCTTGGTCTTGCTGCAAACTCCCTGAACTTCTCTGCAACTACAGACTGAGTCAGATAGCCCCAGGCTACGTGGAATGGGGTAAAAGTCTAAGGAGTCTCAGCAGAGAAAGGCAACAGATTGTCATGCTGGGAAAGGTCACCACTGAAGGGTTTCTTGTCGTGCTTTATGTGCCCTGTCTTCAGAGGGACAGAGAAGCAAAAGCCTGCGCCGTGTACAGCTCTAATTTGTCTTCATCTGATCCAGCACAAATTTGGGGCACTGAGTTCACTCTCAAATGATTTTTTTCCTTGCCTTAGCAGCCATTCTCACAGGTTTGATGTCTCTTTCCCCTCCAGGTGATTGACATCTCAATGATCCTTGCAGAAGCCATCAGGAGGACTCATAATGGGGAATCTGTCTCCTACCTATTCAGCCATGTCCCTTTATAACAACTGATGCCAGCTTCTGCTTGTATGGCTTTTTTTTTTTTTTTTTTTTTTTTTTTAAACCAAAAGTTGTTCAGCTTGTTGTAAAGTCCAGTAGAAGACTCTGCTTGTTCCAGTGCAGTTCTCCACAGCTCCTCCTGCTTTAAGTCAGGCTTACTGGCTCTGACCCCAGCATGGGGAGGCTGGGGCAAAAAGCTCATCTCTGTAACACTCCAGCTCTGCCAGCAACCCTGTGCACTGAGAGCTCATCAGTAGGATTGGCTCAGTGCTGCAGATCTGTGGAGAGCAGGACTGACACATGGTGCATTGCCACAATTGTTTTGGGGGGTGGGGAAGAGGGTTTGTCTGTGGGCAGGGTGAGATGACCTGATGTGCACACCCTGAATTGTTAGGGAAGTAGATCTCCCTAGGACGTGTGGGTCTGGATGTACAACGAGGGCCCCAAAGGCTGCTGTCTTATTGCTCTACAGCTGCCAGCTCTTCAAGAGGGATGAGGAAGACTTGTCTTGGCCAAGCTTTGACCATAGCTGAAGCCCTGGGGACATCTGGGAGGTGTTTCACACCTGGGGCTGGTTCAGCTACACCTTCCTCTTGCGAAAGGAGGTCGGTGTAGCTTGCAGACTTGAATTCCCCTTCAGTACTGAAGAAATGTCCTTTAATGTGTTGCACAACAGAGTGCTGAGAGTGTGGTCTGCAGAACTGCCTTGCTGTTGGGTTAACTTAGTGGTGAAGGTGCTCCTTGGGCAAGTATTCTTCTCCCTCTTATGCAGAGGGCACCTGCTGGTTGTGGGCTGTGGGTTTTAGGGTAGATTAAAACCAGTTCTTCCATTTCACAAGTTCCCATTAGCCTTGCTACTGACTGGAGGACTGTGTGGTGTGCTGTACTGCACCTGGACATGCTGTGCACGTGTATCTTGGTCTGTTTTCACCAGTGCTCTGGTAGCTGAGCCTCTCCACCCTGCAGAAGCTTGGCCTCTGGCAGTGGGTTGAAGGGGCTCGTGTTACACAGCACTGGGAAAACTGCAAATCCGAAACCAATCTGATGGGCAGCGAGGTGCCCGAAAGAGAAACACCAAAACTAGAGTTAGTGTAAAATAAGTATCATCCAAAACTTGAACGCGTAGTAACTGTACCAGACAATCTTACAATGTCTCTCCTGGACTCTTATGGTGTTACAGGTCAAGCTGTTTTATGCTCTGGTTTTTATAAGCACTCCTCCTCGATTTGTTTGTGAGATGGGGAAGGGAAAAGGGAAAAGAAGGAACTTGAGATGACTTGCTGGGGTAAATAGCATGGCATCAGGAGGATTACTGGGCTGTAAGGGGAACTAACTGAAAAGAGGTGGTTGAGATCTGGGAAGTACGACTTCAGCTGTGCCTTTTAATGAGAACTTCTCCCCTCTCCCTTCCTAGATTTCCTGTCCTGTGGCGATGTTAACACTTCTATTACAGTGTAGGGTTGTTGGTTGTTTGTTTCTTTTTGGTTTTTTTTTTTTGTATAAGAATTGGTGTTTGTCTGGAACGTGTATCCCTTGCTTTGCTTTGCATCCTGCACTGAGCTGGGCCGAGAGCCCAATTCCTGCCTCCTGCTTTGGAGCCCTGCTGCTGCACTGCCAACGCCTCGGGAGCTGAGAGCCAGGACGTCAGAGCAGCAGTGTGAGGATTTTCAGCAGCATTTGTGTTTAAATATGTGACCTGATGAAGGAATTAAACTTTTATTTAAAAAAAAAAAAAAAAACCAACAAAACAAACCACAACACGTAGCCTCTGCTTATAAGTGCATTTGAAAAGCCTGAAAAAATGGTGTGTGTCCGTGTGATGTGGGCACAGGGGGGGGAAGGGACCTTGGCAGCTCACCTGGCTTAGCAGCAGGGCTGACTGCAAGGTTCTGCTTTGCTGTGCTCACTCTTAGGGCTGAGCTGCTAGGAGTGGTGGCTCCTGTCTGCATCTGATGTTGTGGGCTTATGCTGTGGCAGTGCAGTTTCTCTTGTTCTGTGCAATTACATATCTGAGCAGATCTGTTCGCATCAGTGTTCAGCTGTGGTTAAAACCTGAATAGTTGAGCAAGCATCAGTGAAGAATAGTGAAGCATTGTGCATAAAGCTAATGATTTGAGACAGCAGGATTGTTCTGAGAAGCACCTGTTTACCTGAACCATGATCCTCTCTTATTGCATATTGTAGACCCAGAAAGCATAAGTGAAATGGAAGGGAAGGAGATGGCAGCTCTGGAGAAAGGTCTTTGACCTCAGAGCAGTCGTCTTGCTCATGCTGGAGCACCACAGCAGGAGCTGCAGCCTCAGGCAGACTTTGCTGAAGACCACTGCTGTAAAATAATTCAGTACAGAATACCTGAATTGTGGATTTTTTTCCCCCCCAAAGAGGGCAGTGCGGGGATGGTGGTGGAACAGGCTCAGTTCCTTGGGAACGTGAGCTTCACAGCACAAGGTTCTCTCAAAAGGAATCTTTCAAAGGGCTCCTAATGGTGCTGGTGTGCATGTCCAGCTTCCTTAGTTGCTTCAATTAAAAGTTGGAGGAAGAGGGAGCAGTGCAGACTTAGAGATCTGCGTGGCAGTGCTGTAGCTGCACAAAGGATGGGTGATGAGTAGGACATGAGGGCTATTGCAGGGAAATAAAGCAGTTTTGCACTGCAAGCCTTCAGATGAGGAGGGTTGCACACCAGGATAAGAAGTCCTTAAATTAAAAAACTACTCCATTTCCAAATGCTAAACCTATTTGAAAAGACTGGCTGCCTAGGAGCGACCATTGCGATACCAAAGTATCAGGTCTCATTTTGCCCTTCCTGCATGCACACAGGACAGGAAAAGCGTTCTCCCTTTCTGCCTTGGTCACAAGCGCAGCTCGGGCAGCTGTACTCGTGCTGCCCTACAGTTTGGGGTGTGCTGCAGGGCTCTGAGCAGGGTCTGCTCCAGCAGCATCAGCTGCCCTGCAAAGTCCCGGTAGCGACGGCAGCACAAAGGAATGCATCACTCATAACCCAGCTCGGTTATCTGGAGGTAATGCTCAGGCTGGGAATAGCCGTGCTGCTGGGTTGGCCACTTGTGCCTGGCGGGCAGCAGGACTTGGAGCGAGACAAGGCACGTCCCAATTTGCTCTCACCAGCATCTCCTTCCTGCTGCCGTGTAAGAGCCGTATCTCTGAGGTGGGCTGTTGCAGCAGCATGGAGGATGTGCCTCCATGGGGAAGTGCAAGGGCTGACAAAGCCCTTCTGCTCAAAGCCGCTGCCTGGGCTCAGAGTGAGGAGAAGTGAAATCGGTGGGCGGAAGGAGCCGTGCCCTGCTGTAACACAGCAGCCCTGCTGCATGCATTGCCTCTGCGGGCCGCTCCGTTCTCCCTCGCTAGAAAAACGTGCGGATGCCCTGCAGGAGGCTGAGCTCCGCGCTCACAGCCGGGCTCCTTCCTGCAGCAGGGAGCGGAGCGTTCCAGGCAGCGGCCGTCGTGGCCCGCAGCCGCGTGCTGCGGGAGGTTTGAAGCTCAGCTAAGATGGCTGGCAGCTGCTCTATTTCGGGTCGGGGCTGCTTTCGCTTTCCTCCTTTCTGCTTGCTGTCTCGGTTCCGTCGTTGTGAATTACTGAAAGCAGAAATAGCCGCGTGCACGAGGCCGGGCCGGCTGTGAGGGGCGTGCACGGTGAATTTGCCGTGGGAAAAAGCTCGGGCTGGGAGCTGAGCTGTGCGGGATGGGTCCGAAACTGCCGAACGGCTGTGCGGGAGCGGCGGAACCCCGCTTTGTGCCCAAAGGGCGCGGGGCTGCAGAGCGCCGCTCAGAGCGCAGCCCTGCGGGCACTGCGAGCGGAGGGGGCTTCGCTGTGCCCCCCCCTCCCCGACCCAGCCCTGCTGCGGGGCCGCTGCCGCATCGGAGCCCCCGGGGGTCCCTCCTTCCCACGGAGCCGTGTGTACGGGTGTGCGGCACAGCGCTCTGTGCACACACGCACCCGCGCCGCGGGGCATCACGGGAGTTGGAGTTCTCCCAGTGCTCTCGAAGCGGAGGCGGCAAGCGGCGCGCGGACTACGTTTCCCAGCGTGCACCGCGGGCAGCGGAGCAGCCAATGGGCTCGCGGGATGGGCGGCGGCCGGGGTATAAAAGCGCCGCCCCACGCGGCGTGCTTCAGTCTCACCTGGGGAGCGCGGAGTGGAGCAGTGCGGTTACGGAGGAGGAGCGGAACACGAGCGGTCTGTGCGGGCGGGTCTCTGCTCAGCGTTGGAGCTCGGGGCGCTGCGGTCGCGCGGGGGTCCTTGGTGGGTGCGGGGTGGCTGAGGGCCCCGCCCTGCGCTATTGTCCGTGGTGGGAAGCGGGCGTGGGGCGGCCCCCGGGGGGGGGGGGGCGGCCGGCCTTTGTCTGCGCGGTGCTGCGTGTCCACCCGGCGCGGAGCTCCGCTGATACGAACCGTGGGGGGGTCGGGTCTCATAGGCAAAATGTGCGACAAACCGGACCTGTCGGAGGTGGAGAAATTCGATAAGAAGAAGCTGAAAAAGACCAACACGGAGGAGAAGAACACGCTGCCCTCCAAGGAGAGTGAGTGCGGAGGGGATGGAGCCGGGGCTGGGGGGGGGTGCTGCCCGGTCACGGCTGGAGATGCGGGTATCCCGGGCGCTGATCTCACTGCTGAGGAATCCGCGGGGAGAGGCGGTCGGAGCAGCTGAGAAAAACGCAGAAAAACGCGCCCGGGGGCGGGTGGGGGGGTTGGGGCGCTCCCTGTGCTGTACCCATCATTGGGACAAAGTGTGCTGCGACCCCGCTGCTGTGGGTCACGTCCCGTGCATGAGGTGCTGCCCTCGGGGTGGGGTATCCCGGTGAGAAGCTGCGGGAGGATGCTCGCTGCCCTCTGATTGCTGTTGGGTTCAGACAATAAAACCCATTGCCGGGCTGTGAGCGATCGCTCCGCAGCCGATGGGTGTTCCTACGGAGGAGCAGCCGTGGGGGTTAATGGACCTCTCTTCTTCTCTTACAGCCATCGAGCAGGAGAAGGAATGCGTGAAGTCTTCCTAGAGCGATGGTCTGGCAGGAAGAGCCACCACTTGATTGGTTTTTGTTTTTTG